CAGCCCGAGCTCAGAGGCTATCAGTTCCCCCTGGAAGGCCAGGAAGGCAAAGGAGGAGGAGGAGGAGAAGGAGAAAGGAGAGGTCCTTCTTCATCTTTGGCTACAATATTTCAGCTTTCTCTCAGATAAATCATCGCAGAAATCAAAAGGAATGGTTTGGTTTCTAGTACGATGTCCCCATTTCTTCTGCTCACATATTATTCACATGCTTGCTATAGCTAAAAGAAAGATTGGTCATTTACTCAATTTGATCACAGATTTTCATTAGGCTGTCCTCTTTACCCTGCTGCTCCCCACATCCTTTGTTCTTTTAGTCATGCTAGCAGAGGGGCTCTTTAGATGACAGAGTCAGGCCTTTTGGCCAGTCTGTTGCTCCACCACTGGCAAACATATCTTCACCACAATTGGATGGATTGCACTGATATTTGGGCAATACTAGACATGATATTTTGGAATCATTCATTTACCTAGGATTCATCTGGTTGACCAAATTCACAGCCAAGGGAATCATCAGGTCAATGTCTGACAGTTTAAACCAACATACCTACCTAGCATTAGCATGTTGGCATGGTCAACAAGTCAAACAAGGCTGTAGTTCAGTTGCTTCTACTTGTTTTCAGTTGTTAATTGTGAACATTCCTGCGATTTGGAAGCTATTGTTGCCTCAAACTATCTGCTAGCTTTTTTTTTCACTTTACAGTAGTAGTAAGTATTTTTCTTCCCAGAAAAAGCGTAACTGCTGTCCCTTCCTACGTCATTAGACACGTCAGTGTCCTGTGTTCCAAACTCTACTTTTTGACCAATAAGAGTACACCATCCGGGTTCGAAAAGTGCACTGCATTTTGCCATACTTTGTGAACACACTTGTGAATACAAATATTAGGGCAGGCACATTTGTGTTGTTGCTGTACATTTTCATATATTTAATCATTTAACCTGCTATCTCTGTGCGTAAGATGATTAACCCCTATGACATGTGGTCATAGATGTTAATACATTCCAGTGTTGCCCCACAGACCTGTATGCCAGTCAACCATTCGCTAGTCAGGAGTCTAATTAGTATAAAAAAAGAAGCAATTTAACCTTATCTTTTAATCTAATCATAGGCTATCCGACACTTGTAAGGTCGCATGAGACGACCTTATCGTTGATTGTGAGAGTGCGATAGGAGCTGAAGCCGTGGAAAAATAAGACATTTCACAAAAGAAATGATTACAGTCTTTAGGTATGGAGGCTATATAATAATAGTTGGCCGGCTTTCACTGGTGACAAAAGGTAACACAGCAGGAATATTCAGAGCAGCTCTGCTAGGCCAGGTTGTGACAGTTGTGTCCCACTCCATAAGCTGGGGGGCGATTTGTAACAAAGATGACCAGCGCGAGGTGCCAAAGCCGGTCTGTCGAGCAAATGCTCCACCAGCCCAGGGCCATGCCAGCCTTGGCCAGGAAGAGATGTAGATGGTGCAGGGGAAGGGAGGGGGCCGTCCCCGCTCCTCAGCAGTCACCGCAAACCAGAAAGCACAGACTGCACCTTCCGTCGGGACCACAGTGAATGGAGGTGTAATTGGCCATATCCAGTGATAGATGGCTGTTCAACCTTTGTTACTCATCGGTGGCAGGATGCGCGGGGACCTGTCTCACAATATGAGGTTGATTGTGCAGTCTATTAAACACCGGTCTCAGGAGGAAACGTGACTCGCAAGAATGCTGGGGCTTAGAAAAGCACCTCAAGTACTGTATGATCTGATTTAAAAATCAACGTGTGATTGCCCATTATAGTTCTGAGACAGTAAACATGATTGAAAATCTGATCATACTTTAGGAATCGTTTCCATCCATCGAGAAACTGGGAAAATTAAAATCAGTATAATTGTTGCAAATTACAACCCTTTGTCTCTGCAGCATAAATCTAAATTATGGTTTTTATTGCGACCAAATTAGCACGTCAAGAACTGAAAGGAAAAAAAACACTCGTGATTTTTGATCATGAAGCCGATTAACGATGTGACGGGTTGAGTGTTTATTTAATTACCCACACCAAGGGTTATAGGAATCTTTCTGACAAACTGAAGATAACATGGTTTCTCTTCATGGAAAAGATTCAGAACACATCTCATGCCATTGCACTGAAGCTGCACGACAAGATGTATGTTTCTGCATGATGCCCAGGGGGTCTGGTTCGCCTTGTGAAGGTATACACTCCTGAAAAATCAATGGCTTGCATGATTGATATCTTCAATGTTAAGGAAGAGAGTGTTTCCATACATCAGGTTTTCTCAAAGCATTCCTGTTTTTGTTCAATAATCCGGCGACAGGGCAAAGAATCTGACGCAAGCAGGAAACAAACGTCTAAAGACATGATTTGTGAAATGCCGGCAGACGAAAACAAAGGCAGCGGCGGGTTGATGGAAGGAAATGAACAAATGCAAGCAGAAATGAAATTGACTTCCCTCAAGGAAGTTTCCGTTTGCACTTGAGAGAGGTAGCACTAAAATGAACAAATTAATAAATAAAGGGTGGCTTTTGTCAAGGGCTTTTGACATCCTCCAACTGTAGAGAGTAGCTGGAGAAACGAGTGATGCTCGTTAACTCTGACCCAAATCACAAGAGACACTGGGAGCTGTTAAAACACAGAGCAGATTGGGGAGTCTGGGTGACCTAGATAGCATTGGTTTTGACAAGCCGCCGTACATCACATTAAATCACTCTTCCGTCTAACGCAATGAGGCATATCTCTCTCATTGGTAATGAAAATTACATTCTGATAAGGTTCATTGTGACATGGAAAATACCTCTTCCATCTGTGGCACTTCGAGGCTCTTGTCAGAGACGTACTTATGGGAAGATTGCACCCTTTTGCCCGGACCTGGGTGAAATGATCTGCCTCATAAGTACACATGAGAGGTGACACATGGTCTAGACAGCCATGCACAAAGAGAACTGGTGGTGATGAACAACCAATATGAGCTGTTGTTAAAGAAAATGAAATGTGTCTTTACATCATAGCTCATTTTGGAATAATAGAAGGGTAGATGGACTTCACTGCTGGAGGGAAATGAGGATATAGCTGGAGACAGACTATTTCCAAGATCAGTTTGTCTTACGCATACGTACAGGAATGCAAAAAGCTATCCATATACGCTACAAGAATCTCTTTACCTGACCCAAATTGAAAAAGACAACATAATCTCACTTATTTCTAGAAGTATCTTCTAGCCATACAGCCCTATTTGTAACCTCAGTACTTTGTAGATGATTCAGTGGGTATATGGAAGAGTACAACCAGGCATAAGTCAAATGCCTAAGTCAAATATGATAGGGGTAAAATAAAATGTGTTTTACATTTTGATATTAAATCAAACTTTCAGAATGAGTGCTAGGCCAAATAAACATAAATTGACACAGGAAGATAGTGTACATTTTGAGAAAAACGTTTCCACATAAGGTATTTCAAATAAATCAAACTAATAGCGTTAAGGCTGTAAACACAGGATGTGAAAGTATAGTATTCAAATCTAGATTGGATTAATGGTACAATCTTAACAAAATGCATGTTTCCCCTATGGTTTGCTTAAGTTATACTTCTGGTTGCTAGCCATGCAGATAGTTTTCAGTTTCCACATGTTGAGATATCCGAGTATTCTGCCACTAGCACAATACAATGGATATGAATGGATTTCCATGTTGGGTGCTTAAAACATTGTAAAATTACATTAAAAAAATTCAACGGCAACAACAGTGTCCCAGTTACTCTGAATAATCTACTATATTCCATGTGATAGTCCCTAGGAATAGCTTTCCTAGGGACTATTGTTTGATCTAAAAAAGCAGTTCCGATGAAAATGTCTCACATTGAGGTCGGTGGATAATAATATGTAACAGGGATACTTATTCTGAACCATTGTCTCAACCTGGCCAAAATAAACATCTAAAGTACAAGGATATATATTCTTAATGTTGACCTTTAATAAGTCATGTCTATGAGTGTTTGTTTAACACCAGAAACAGTTTCAGTAATAGGCAAATATTGAAACAAGACTCACAATGTCAAACAATGTCAGACAGGATAATGTTTGCCCGGTCTCGATGTGCAGCAGCTCTGTACAGGCCGGGGACGGCTGAAGGCCTCTTCCCCCAACAATGGCCCATCACCATGCCAACAGAAGCGGTGCCAGCCGTTGTGCCAGCTTGGCACGGACCCCAATGTTAGCAGTGGATGATTCAAGGGCATTAAAGCACAATGTGGGGGGTTCCAGTTTATGGGCAACAGTGCCAGGATTTCCACCAACAGCCCGTCATCCATCGCTCTCTGCTACTTCCCCTCACCTCGAGCTGTTTCCTTGTGCTTTGAGCATTAACAATCCATCTTCTGAAAATCTACTTTGCACACACAGAAGCACCGGTCATGCTTTAATGTTCTATATTTACTCATAAAACAAGAGCCTCAAATATTCTGCCACAGGTCTCTGTCAAGAGCGGGCATTTGTTGTACTCTCATTAAGGATTGATGAATGAATTATAACATCTTTGTTGATTTGTTAAATTGCTGCCTGCCATTTTTGTCTTTTAAATTAATGAGTGATCAAGGGGGCATGTGTTTTTCATTTGAATGTTTAACCACCTCCAGCTTAACATTAACTGTCAACCCTTTCTCTTCGCCCTGCAGTGCTCGGAGCAAGTGACTGTGATGGGCTGTCGGACTGCATCTGAAGCACTCTCCCAAAGAATAATATCCACTCCTGACCTACTCTGAAGAACAATATTTGATTCAATCAATGGTGCAGTCTTCCCCCGGAGGGAATTACTCCTGAGTAAAAGGTGGACCCTCAGAAAAGAGCAACAGTGGACCATGTGATACTTGACCTTCAAAGAGAGAACTCAGGTACACTCCAGAAGATGTCAAATTTGATCTGAGGCTGCTCTCGAGAGGATCACACATAATTCAATCATCCTTTCCATGTGTGGTTCAGCATCACTCCAACACGATGGGCCAGCAGTGACGGAGCGTACTTATCAATGACGGATCTTCATTTATCGAGGAGTACCAGACATCTCATCATGGATTTGAATGAGATTTTCCCCACCAAAGGGCGACTGTAAAACGAAAAAGACTGGAGTGGGGGGAAATCGGACTCTGGGAGTTTGTGAGGATTAGTGTGCTGCTAACCCATGGTGGATCTGCTGTGAGGGGGACGAGGGACTCAGTGGAGGATGTCAGCAGAGGCCGAGCTCCAGCCGGGTGTCAAAACCAGCCAGCGAAGGGAGTCCAGGAGGGTAAAATGTAAGTGAGACTTTACTGCATTGGTACAAATATTCTGTCAATCTAAAATGTAATAAATAAGTGGTGCGGGAATGAGTCCTAAAACCTGGAAATAAGATGGCTTTTCCAACTTCCCAGTAACTCGTCAGAAAGTCAACGTTGTTTTGGACATGATTGAAATACGGTCTGTGTTTAACAAAAGCTTAAGAGATTTTCAAATGTTGTTCTACGACACATTTTAAATGTCCAAAGCTTCTATGTGTCATAAACATATGGCAGTTGCTAACAAGTGAATAAATGAGACTAATCAAAGTAATCACGCCGAAAACGAGTCCGCTTTTGGCTTAGCGATATTGATACGCACCCATGAAACTGTGATTTAGTTCATTTTTAAGCTTTTTGTTTGAACCTTGTTGGGTTTTTCCTCTGGCAATTGCATTTATGCTTCAAATAACAAAAAGTGGTGTAAATATGTGGAGATTATCCTGCTGAACCAAATGTAACGTGTTTGCCACAGTTCTTATCTTATTCAAATTACCGAATTCTAGTGGAAAAATGTAATCACTGAATCACTTTGGACAATACATCCACCACTATATTGTGGTCGTTTTTTGAGAATTTAGATAAAAGTCTAACGTTGAAGGAAAAGGGAGTCGGGACAAAGTGTTTTACTGGCAGCTATCTTATGTTTGGCAGGCAGTGAACATAACTTTTAGTCCTGTTTGTATGGAGCTAAATAACGCTGGACTACATGGAGAGAAGGCTCGCTCAGTCAGGTCTGCCGAGAGCTCCCTGTCTCATCCCGGGGATCCAGATGTAGTAACAGCTATCGCATGTAGCCCCAGGGTCTGCTAGCTCCCATGATTTAGGTGTCATGGACAGGGTAATTCACACCCTGTCGCTTTGATGAACAGCATAAGTGATGTAATAGGACGAGGCATTCTCCGAAACTTCACCAGGAGATTGAAATGGGATTGAATTGGCTGAGAGGAGTAAAGATAGGGAAGTAGAAGGACTGAGGGGGGAATGAAGAGGATGCCGTTTTCTTTGCCCTCCCTCTCTCCATCCCTTTTTTTTTTTACTCATTTCTCCATCCATATATAAAGCCACTGCAGCTAGTCCGGTAAATCTGGCTTCTGCGGGATGGCTGAAACGAGGCCGTGGGGCCAGGTCCTCTGTGGCTGTTTCACTGTCGGCTCGCTTAGATAAATGGCCAGGAGGAGGGCCCATTGATTTGAGTTAAGTGAAAGGCGGAGTGCAGAGCTAGAGGGGGGCTTTGACACACGTGGCCATGCGACGGGCTATCAGCACAGGCTATCAGACCCTGACTTTGCCATGCTAATCACATGGGCTGCAGGGACCATTGTCGCAATCAGTAAAGGTGCTATTTAGAGCCATATAAATGGAAATGGGGCAACATAAATGCAGGCAGACTGTCAGACAGCTATGCTAGTAGTTGTTTGTGAGCAGGCTGGGGCCATTTGAAGGACTCTACTGAGGATAACGATGATGACATGTATTTAGATAAAGCACTATTCAAATTTCTGGGAAGCAACACTAAAAGTTGATGAAGAAGAACGGTTTATTTCTCATCTCGTAAACAATAGAGAACTGAAGGAAGGAGTATGAAACCCGGGATATAGAACTACCTGTTCCCTTGACTCGAAGTCTTGGTTTTTGGTTATGTGCCTGAAATATGGTCTGAGAGTCATTTAATACGAAAAGCAAATATTTCGCCGCAAAAAAAGGGAGATCATTGCCTTTCGGCCATTTTGTACCACAAATATAAAAAGGCGTTAATCAATCAATTTGTGGGGAACAGTTGGAGTTGAGTTTATATTCGTGAGGATTATAAAATGACAACATGGAGACTCCTATGTTCCACAGGAACACGGCAAACGTTATAACTTCTTTCAATCTTGAAAGAGGCGACATTATTCCAGATACCATCCTTCCGTTCTTACCTTTCACAATAAAAGCCCTATACATATGTTAAGTATTTCACATTTTAATTTTTTCAAGCCTCTCAGTATGACAAGGCCTTTGGATACTTTTGGGCAACAAACCATCGTTTCCGATTTAACATTACTGAAAACATAGCAGTAAATATTTGATTCCATCTCTGCCAATAGCTCTCCCTAAATTGTACACACTGCTGCTTTTGAAAAATATTGACTATTCTACTACTTCTACTAGACCACCTTTCTTGTGCTTTGTTTTAGGGATTTCTTAGCACTTGTCATTCCTTTCAAAATCTGTTTGGAAAATTCCAACCTCACAGCAGGCTCTGAATGCCATGGTAAAGCCAGAGCTCCCCTCCAACTATCAACATAATTGCTTTACATGCGTGACTTTGCTCTATCTCCATAGCAACTGTTGCTCTCCCACTGTAATCTGTGCGCAAAAAAAAGATTCATTTCATAAAGAAAGACAAGGAATAGAGGACAGAGAGACATTGAAAGAGAGAAGTCGGAGAACGTTGGTGATGCGGCGAACGGAAAATGAAATGCAATCGTCAGGCACTTCTCGTTCTGAATGAATGACATTGGGAAGTTTGTAAGAGACAGTACAAATAGTAACCATTTCACCCTATTCAAACACGATTACCCACATTTGACCAAATCAATCGGGTTTCATATCCAACTGCTCATTCCACTGCTTTACAATGAGTGTTATAATGGCATCGTTGTGGAGCCTCTACCTAAAAAATGATCTTGCCCATTTCCAACCACTAGAACACATCAATGTATAGTCTACTGCGATCCAATGGTCGGCCCAGTACAATGTACACAATGACCCTCATTACCTTTGTAAGTGCTTTAACGATTAGTCTTTAGACCAGGACCTCGATTTGCTGTTGAATGTCAAAGTTGGGTGGAGGAATGTTGACATTGGTGTTGGGTGAGGGGCGTCGTACTGCTGTTTGTTATGGCAAATCTGCACGTTTGCAGAGGCTTATGGAAGTTATTTCATGCACATGGGGGAGGCAGGTGGCAGGGACAGATTTGCCTTCCCTGCTCCAAAAGGATATATGTAGGATTTTCATTTTTAACACAAAATAACGGTTAACATTACAGATTTACCGAATATCTTTTTAAGCTTTTATTCTGTTCTAATATTAAAAAATCCTTGAAAAATATTTTAATAAAATTATTAATTTTGATTAAATTAGTTAGTCTCTTTATTACCATTTCTCTTTAAAAAATAACTAGTCAGTGACATGCCTCCCTCTATGTCCAACAGACGCCAGTGCACATGTTTAACCGCAATAATACATGTCGTTTTTTTCAATATTAAAAATAGTTAAATAAATAAATTATTGTACATTTAGCTTTTTGACTTTGAAAATGTTTGGAACAAGCAAGTCAGAAGCAATCATCCATTACTGGAATATATTCCATCAAATGGTATTATGCTAATAGTATTAGCATAACCTTGCTTAATCTAACACTGCATAAATAGCGGCTTTAAACACAATAAATTGAATATATGAAAAAAGAGGAACTAGTGATTGGTGATTAAGTATCTGAATGTCAACAATATGAATGAGCTGAACTATTCAGAACAGCCCTAGTTAACATTAAACATGCATGTGCGTGAACTCAGAATCAGCAGGCATTGCAATACATTCAGTCTCATTTTATCTTAATGTGGCCTTGTAACAGACGGATATTGACAGGAAGAGACGAGCAGACACAGATACACAGTCGGAGCAGTTCAAAGGTTAAGCTGCTTCGATGCCCAGATCCCCAACAAAAAGTTTCCCGCTGCCAAGTCCTTATATCTAGAGGGGCACTTCTGACTCTCCATCTGCTGCCATCTGTGCCTTCACTGTCCCCATTCTAGTGTGGCAAGGAGGAGGATGCAACACTGTGATCAGAGACAAGCCCTGTAACAGTATGGAGCAGGGCGAACAGTAATTGTTCTCTCCATGGTCCTGGTGCAGGGCCTGTGTTCAGGTGGCTGACCGCAGCATTTGTTTCGAGGCACGTCTGATGTCCCGGCTGGTAAATCTCAGCTGCAGTTTTGGAAGATTTGGCTTTTCCCGTCTTTATTAGATTTCACCAAATGAGGTCAATGGGAAATATTAATGGGTATTGTTGTTACAAAGGTCTTAGAAATAGTAGTGCAGTGATGTAATATATTTCTAGGCCAAACTGGTATGTAACATTGCATGAGCTCCCTCAACAAAAAGCAATATGATTTTTCCATTGGATTATGGAATATTGCAGAAAATAAGATTTCTGGCAAAAACACGTTTTGTGATTCTCTTTTGTTCATCAGGATAATCTCCACATATTGATGCCACTTTTATGATTTCTGATGCATAAATGCAACTGGAAGATGTAAAAAGATAACATTATGCTATAAACAAACTACATCACGGTTTCACGGCTCGCATCCCAACCAGCTAAACTAAAGGCGGCTAATGTTTGGCGTGCTAATTTTAGTAGTCTTATTTAGCAACTTGGTAGCAGCCGTCGTTTTGAGGACACGTAGAAGCTTCGGGCATTCAGCCGGACATTACCGACGTATTTCATGTTGTAGAAAAATACTTGAGGATCTCTTAAACTTGTTTTAACCGCATATCTTATTTTGGACATGTAACCATTAAAAAAAAACTGTTGATTTCGATACAAGGGAACCGGAAGTGGTAAAATGCTAACTCATTACCACATTTTAGGACTTATTTCTGCACCGTTCTATTATGACCTCTGCATCTTAGACCACCAGGGCTCCTGTATGGCAGGCATGTTGTCCGATGTGTGGGATGCACTTAGACGCAGAATAATAGTACACAATGCTTTAGGCAGCCCTCTGTCAGACAAATTATGAGCGTCAAGCTTATGGGCCAGAAATATTGTGAGGACCATTCAACCTTGGGTAATTGTAAATCCAGAAAGCCAGAGGAGTATGTATCACCCCCAACTCCCCTCACCCACACACACACACACACACACACACACACACACACACACACACACCACACACACACACACACACACACCACACACACACACCACACACACACACACACACACACACACACACACACACACACACACACACAACACACACACACACACACACACACACACACACACACACACACACACACACACACCTTCCGCCTCTCTCCTCTCCTTCCTTACAGTTAAAGTAACAACATGAAACAGCATGCCCCGCAGCTCTTTAGTTTTCAAATACAGCACACTGCTCGTCGTGATCTGAACCCAGAGCACGTAGCGTACGAGTTATGCCACTGTGTCAAGACGCTCATTCGGTATGCAAGTCCTACTTTTTTTTGAGGATCTGTGCATAAACCTCTAAATCTCTCCTGAAGTGTTATTAGGGGGAAACGGCACGCTGTATGTAAAGAAACAAATGGCACAGAACATCTGGTTAAAGCTCATCTGAGAGAGCTGCACTAAATTGGCCCGATCGTGTTTAAAATGCAACTGGAGCAGCATGCATTTTACATTACATTAGTGTATGAGTCAGTAAAAACTGGATGGAATACATAACACTGTAAGAATAGGCTCCAGTCGCTCTATGAGGTATGGTTTGGAATAAAGTACAGCAATAATGATCATCCGCCCTCTCTTCTTTCATCTATCCAGCAGGCTTTGAAACAGCACATTGTCTACAGTTTGTCGTCTTAGTGAGTTTGTTATCAATGTGGGAATGTTAATTTCTCTACATGGTAGTGACAGGCTTAATGTTCAGAGGTACGCGGTGGCTGTATATAACACTCATTATCCTCTGGCTTCGAAACAAGTCTGAATTAGACCCAGATTTGACATTCACTTGCTTAGCGACTTTAATGACTTTAGCTTCTTCAAGCCCTCCCCCCCCTTTAGAGAATTGTGCCCTGATGAATTAGTGAGAGGGTGTGCATAGCCAAGACAAGTGCTTGCATTTGACGCTTTCTTTTTTCTCGCCATTTGCACAAACCTTTTTGATTTTCCTTGGAAATTGATTAGATCTTAGATGGAATTCCATTTGTGTTTGAGTAGATGTACGGTGTGTTTCTTGGTGGGAAAGGGTCATTTTGATGTAATACGTTCTTTGAGTTATTTGGCGGTCTGAATTAGGGATATTAAACCTTCTTCCTCTCTCTCACACAGCTCAGCTATCCTCTTAAATGTGCCGTTAACGGATGTACTGTATGGGACTCTTGACCTAGAAATGAGTGAGCAAGGGGCCTGAAAACTGTTAAATTCTCAGAGGTGATGGTGACCTTGATTCTGGAATCCCGCCGTGTAAATGTGTCAGGAGACGATGTTTTGCGGATAACAAACCCAGCTATGAGGGGATGGTTTATACATTGCATATGCACAAAACTGGGCTAGAGCTCGCATGTCATAATCAAAAGAGTTTGAAGGCAGGTAGCGTGGAGACAAAATGAGAAAACTGGCGGTGTCAAGGTGATGTCAGGGCAGTTTCAGAGATGATAGACAGAATAATCAGCAAAAGGGATGGGATGGAGAAGGTGAGGAATGACATTATAAAGCCTGAGGCCGGGCCAGACACATTCACATCCCCCCCCCCCTGTCCCACACCACCAGCCCACCACCCGACGTCCATCACCCAGGGAGGGCCTGGTGGATTATGGGTGAGCACTGGACCGAGATGATTCCTCTCAATAGCAGCCATTCAAGCTGGTTTGTCACCACCAATGGCACCCATGGGAACTGTGGGTGTGGGTCAGGAGTAGGAGTGAGCCCCCCACACCGTAACCTTCCGACCGGGCGTTCTGTGTGAATGCCCCACAATGCCTTGCAATTGGCGACCGCAGAGTGTTCTCAATGTTCCGGTTGTTTTCTCATTAAGTCCACCGGCTTCATTCAACTTCATTTTCAATCTCAAATTCAATTTTGTTTAAATTTTTGCTCGCTGCTGCTAATTTGCAATTCATTTTGCATTTCCTATTCCATAAATATTTATACCGGAGCAGCCAACTCTCACAACACACACCCACACACACACACACACGCGCACGCACGCACGCACGCACGCACGCACGCACGCACGCACGCACGCACGCACGCACGCACACACACACACACACACACACACAGCAGCTCCTATACCTCAAGCAGGGGCATGATTCTAAAGTTGTGTTTTGCAGTCGCGCTCACATCCTTGTTTCATGTTTTCTCCTCCTTATCTTTCTGCCTCTCTTTTTCTTTTCCAACCACAGGTCAGGACCGCACTGAGGCGGGGCTTATTAAGCGTTTCCGTGGAGATGGCGTGCGTTACAAGGCCAAGCTGATCGGGATTGATGAGGTGACTTCGGCGCGCGGGGACAAGCTGTGCCAGGACTCCATGATGAAGCTAAAGGTTTGTGAATGTTGGGGGGGAATCAATGAGCTCCTTCACTCATCACAGTCAGATATGGAAAAGGCTTGTCCGGTCATGTCTGTATTGTCTGTTGAATGAGTCATATGAGCTGTCCTCTCCTGTAAAGGACTCACTGAAGCTCCGTAAAGAACTGACCACACGGAACAAATAAAAGTCCAACCGTGTTATTCTGCAGCTCTTTATCACGTAGCTACTGTAAGGTTGGTTTTTTATCTGTTGCAAAATGTTAGCAGCCTTTTACTTCAATATCCCTCTAATAAGCGGCTTTATTTTTAGCATTGCTCAAACTCTCCATATTTATTCACACAGCTGTTTTTGACCTTGGAGGCAAACTGGCTTCCTATGTTTAAGACGCTTAAAGCAAACACTTGAGTTAGAAATTATCACTTTTTAGAACACCCTCCCTGCCTCTTGAATGTTTTCTCATGTCAGTCCCAGCCTTCTATTTTTACAGCGATGATATACTTGTCGCACATATGCAAACTGTGATAATGTGACCTAGATAATATTTAAGCCTGTGTTCTTTAGAATGTTGCAAGTAAAATTAGGTCAAATTCAGTTAGTTGAGAAAAAGTGTTAGTAGTGGTGATCGTGGATGAAAGGGTTGAGTGTCAACCAACCTATTTTGTAGTAGTATGTGTACAAACATGTACTGTTGCTAGGCCTTTCAAGTGTTCCATTCTCGAACATGCACTGTTACCCAAAAACAGGTGTTAGTCATTCTCAAAACAATGGCTCTTTGATCTCAGTCAGTGGAATACCAAAGCAATCCTCTCATTTATAGCCGCCTACCGTTGAAAAGAGCTAGCTACCTACTTAAAATAACAACACCATTTTGCCACAAGCTCATTTATTTATGTTTTCAGCTGACTCGTTTAAAAACCGGGTCTGTTCATTATTCCAAAGGCCCGTTGTACGGAAACCCCAATGGTAAAAAAAAATTCCCATTGGTCCAAAACCCATTTGTCCCACAGTCCATTACCACAAAGCAAACACCCATTCTCAGAGCAATGAGCCTTCAGACCGATGGGTGTTTGCTTTTGGGGTAAAAGACTGTGGGACCAATTGGCTTCCGGTCCAATGGGAAATGTTTTGGACTATTGGGTTTTCGTAATGATATTCCTGTGGCACAACGGCAACAAGAATCTTGCTCCTGCTATAATACTGTACTGTTAGTATGTTAAGGAAAAATGTCAGATTTCTCCATTAGTACAAAATCCTGATCGGCTGCTTTGACATAACCTATACAGTATACGCACCAAATATTGTGGATTTGTTAAATCCCCTGGTCATGTAAGAAATTATACATTTGGTTACTTTTGGCATAATGCTAGGCAGGCCAACATTCTAAACTTTGAAGCTTATGTTAGAACTTATAAACACTTATTAAAAGTAACAAGTTCAATCCAAAGCTTTAAAGACCCACCATGCCCAATTACGCTTGCTAATTTAGGTTTGACGTTTGCTGTTCGGATAGGGGTTTAGCTAACGTGCAATTATCAATATAAAGAACATATTACTGAGAAATAGCATGCTTCCTCCTCTCAAAATGTAATTCTGTATCCTCTTAAGTACCAGCTGTGTTTGGCTCCAAAGTAAAAGGCAGGAAATACTTATCACTTTCTTTGTTGGGGGGGAAAATAGCAGCACATAAGCATCTTTGCAGTAGGTGGCTACGGGATAAACCTTCCTCTAAAAGAGGACGTATACGCCATGGCTTTTTTAAAGTATCTTCTCACACTCTTTGCTGGGGCTTAAATGTGTGGGAAGCCCCAAGAGAAGAGGAGAGCAGCCGGAAGGCAAAGCCTCTCATCGCCTATATGTCCAATAAAACAACTTTTTCCCCCGCCCCGATGACATTTCAGCAGTGCCCTCCATATGACTCCAGTATTCACCAGCTAGCAGCCATTTACAGTCTATGGGGCAGTCGATACAGACCTGCTATTATCTGGACTGGGGATAAAGGAGGGGACGTGGTCTCTATTGAGCTGCCTCTCGTTGCCTTGAGGACTAATCCACCAAATTGAGAAGCCGATAGCTGATTGACAACATCCATCGACTCGCCCGCCCGCCCGCCTCTCTCTCACTTACTTCATCTTCTCCTTATCCCCATTGCTTGTTCTGCTCTTTATCCTCACCCTATTCACACTCCCTTGATTCCGTCAGCTCCTCTGTTTCTCATATTAAAGATACATGTAAAGATGGATATGCTGCTTTAACATCTCCCTGCGGAAGTAGAGCTCAACTGTGAATTATGTAACCCGTTATGTCTTTTTGGATATTAGCTGAGCCCTAAGAGAAAAAAATCTAAAGTGGAGGATAGCTGAGGTCGACCACTCTTCAGCGTTACTGGTCCTGCAGTTTTGTCAGATGTGTTCAGCACAGCAGGCAGGGCTTTCTTCTTCTCTTATCTGCTCTGCTCTTCTCTTCTCCTGCAGGCTTTGTTATATGAAAGACATGTCAAGCACACAGGTCGCGTCAAATGGAACACGGTGGAAATGTTAATTGTTTTCTTTATTAGAGCTGAGAATGTAAGAAAGAAAATGTGAGCTGCTGAGATCCATGGGAAAAAACGTACTTCAAAGGCTGGCTGCCGTGTTCAGTCAGCACTATGCGAAGTTGTCGAAGCGAGCTGGTCGGTCAGCAGCGATCCATTCTGTCAGCAAATCTCACCTTATTGTTGTTAGCTAGCACTTGTGTATGTCACGTTGAAGTGCAGTAAACCTACTTCAAGAAAAGGGAGAGAAAAAAAGATGCTTGGGAAAAAAAGAAAAGAAAAGGCCTCAATAATAATAACTCTTGCTCACAAGTCGACGTGTGAACTCCTCTGAGAGTGAAGCTTCAAGAAACGGCACATGAAAGAACATTCTGTCCTATCACACCTTACGTAACTACTGTCACCTTACCCTACAATATCCACCCCCCCATCTCCCACTGTCACCCTCACCTGAGCCGGAAGAGGCGAGGGCTCACCATCTTTCATGCTGAGCTCATATCCTTTCATCTCCTCATGTCGTTTCCTTTCATCTCCTGCAGGGAATGGCTTCCTCGGCGCGTTCCAAAGGGGAGCACAAGCAGAGAGTGTTCTTGACGGTCTCTTTCGGCGGGATCAAGATTTACTGTGAAAGATCAGGGGTGAGTAGCATGTCAGCGAGGCCCTCGCCAGCTGCCGTACTGTGAACCTACAGTGTAGGACATCCAGAGGGCAGACGCTTGCACGCTTCAGTGCACAGCGGTTGCCAACCGACGCCATCTTGTCAGCCCGGTTGACTTATTGGTCTCACTGAAGTACCTGTGTGGAGGGAGGAGGATTCACAAGGTTGTGCTGAAATAAAAACAATTGCATATGTATTCCAAATTCCTGTCCAAATATCAATGCGGAATGTTCACATAACATTTTGCCCTTTAGCTCATAAAGATTGAACTAAGAGCTGCAACTAATTGATTAGACGACAGAGGGAAACATAATCGGTAATGCTTATGCTGATAGATTTATTATTTAGGTAATTTTGAATTTAAAAAAAATTATGTTGAGCCTCTGAAATGTGGAGGTAGTTTAATTGCTTTGTTTTATTTCATATCAAAGTGAGGCTGACAAAACAAGAAATGTAAAGACTTTAAAGAAACTAGTTTGGACATTTTTCACAGTTTTTTGACATTTAATGGACCGGACAAATAACAGATTCCTAGAAAATATTCTGCAGATGTATGGAAATGAATGTTAGTTTGAGAAAATATTGAACTTGACAGCTTTACACTGCAGGTCTTGTATTTGATGTGTAACCCTAAGTAAACTGGGTTAACCCATTAGATCTAAGGTCTACTGCAGGCCCTTTACTGTAAGATCTGTCAGGCCCTGTCTGCTTGCTAATGATAGCGCAGTGAGCAATGTTACGGTGATGTTATGAGACGGGCTGTTTCCGCCTCCGTACTAGCCTCCATCCCCCTGGCGGGCTCCGAGGCCTGCTGTTCCATTACAGGATGATCGAGGGGGCCCGGCTCTCCCCTATCCTGGGGCGTAGCGTTGGCTGGATAGGCCCACTATGCTCATCAGCGCTAACCGATAATTAGCACTCAGTTCCACCCCTTAATGATCATTGCCGCTAATGCTAATTACACCACGGCTCCACCTCAGCTGTCGTTACAGCTAAACTGATAATTACGCAACAGCGTTTGTCCCATGGCTGCGACCCCCCGCCACACCACCAACCGTCTACTCCCCCCCCCCCCCCCAAAAAACCAACCATCTTTGATAACATCTTCTTTCACTGTTAATGAAAAAGAACATTAAGCCCTGCGCCACCACCAAATAGCTCACCAGCTTTCTGACAAGCCCATTTGTTGTTTTGGAAAATGCCCCCTAATGCTCCTCATTTTATTTACTGATTACCGGCAGTAAATAACACTCCACACTTAATATCCCTCTTGAGTTATTATGGGGGAACGGGGATCAGCAGTGTCAGCAACACTGTGATGGAAATACTTTATGTAAAGCTGACTTGATTCTGTGCTGAATCCAGTAGACTAGTCGTATTAGTTTTGTATTTTACATTAATCTGAGGCGTTACCAGCGACGCTCCTTCCCAGTGCCTAAGCTTATCTCTGCTAATAGAGGAACTGCAAGTGGGTGTGCCTGAATGACAGCTGAATTACTGCGTGTGTATATCTGGGTGTGTGTTTATGTTTTGCGAGGTTTCTTATACAAAAAAGTCATTGTTTCCTGATTTTGGATATCAGAGCGTCTCAAAACCTGCTTATATAAGAGAGTATAGTAAGGAAGTCCAAGAGGTTTTACATAATCTGACACAAAGCACAGCACAAACATCATGTGACTGGATTATACATTGAATATTAACCATAGTGCCTATAGAGTACTGTGTAATATAGATTGGAACACCCTTGAGTCTCTCCTCCCTCTGTGTTGGTTGCGTTTGGCTCCACAATATGCAGAGATGTTTAAAGTAGGTCTGACCTACTTTCCCTGCCAACACAGTGTACAGTACTTGTAAAACACTATTTAAAAATGGAACAAGACATGCTTTTGCATCTGTAAGGGGAGCAAGATTGTCAGATTTTCCGTTTTCATCAAGCCAATGTTGTCCTTTCTGTAACCCTTCACGTGTGCCATGTAGGTGCTCATGCATCACCACTCAGTGCACGAGATCAGCTACATCGCCAAGGACACCAGGGACCACCGGGCCTTTGGCTATGTCTGCGGGAAGGAGAGCCACCACAAGTTTGTGGCCATCAAGACGGCACAGTCGGTATGACATTTTCTGTTTTTAGGTTACTTTAGGTTAGGTCAAGTCTCAAGCAATAATAGACCAGAGCCAACATCTTCATATTCTGCACTTACATCATCGGGTCATGTAAGTGACATGTCTGACACAAATAATTTAGTTAATACATTAAAGAAATGAAAAATCTCAAAGGTCACTCAGCATATGAATTATATAAATGTATTGATGATTATAACACGGTTAATTCAAGTTCTTGTCACCTCAGTATTTTATTTTGTGGCTGAACTTTTTTAGGTTAGGTGTCTGATTGAAATAATTCTATAAATACATTAGACATTTGTTTATTATAAAGGCTAATTGAATTGATGATACCTGAATTCCTTGTCACTAGGGATGTCCCGATCACCTTTTTTTGCTCCCGATCCGATTCCGATCATTTGATTTTGACAATCTGCCGATACCGATTTTTCCCGATCCGATCTTTATGCAATGCATTAAGAGAAAAAAAAGGAGAAAAGCATTCAAGTTGTCCCTTAAACCCCACGTTCTCCACCACAGATAACAGCTGGTCATCCAACGCGATGAATTCAGCTATCTTGGCTGTTATTGTTTTGGCCTTTTCACTGTTCTGGGGCAGTTTCTCTTTCCTTTTAAAAGTCTCTGAAAGTGTTGGTTGTTTCAGTGCCGTTACCTGAATGGCCGCTGTGTACTCGTCGTGTTGTTGTTGTTGGTGTTTGTTTCTCAGGTGGCGTATTAGATTGGTCGTGTTGAACGTAGCTATGTTCTTTCCACCACGCGGAACCTCCGCCTTGCAAACATTGCATCTGGCTGTTACACTGCCTTCGCTTTCAATTTTATAATACTTCCAAACTCCTGACATTTTCTCTGTCCCGACTCCCGAGTCACCAGCCAGAGTAGCCTCTCGTTAGCTTACTGCTACTATTAGACACTGCGCCCTGCCCACTCTGTTGCCAGATTTGAGAGAAATAAGCAACCAGGTCTATGAAAACAAGCCCAAAAGAAGCAACACATACATGATGTTGTATAATTTTAAACCAAAACTAAGGCCTCAGGATGACTTTAAGACGTGAACATGGTCATTTTTGTTTTGTAACATTAAATAAAATAAGAAAAATATTTTATTAAAAAAAAAAAAAAAAAAAAAAAGAATTCCGATCCCCGATTTTTTTCTCCCGATTCCGATCTTTTGAAAATCACGTGATCGGCTCCGATCCCCGATCACGTGATCGGATCGGGACATCTCTACTTGTCACCTTAGGATTCTGTTTAAGGGTTAGCTACCTGTAATACAAAACATCACAAAGGCCAATCCCCATTATAAATAATAATAATTAATTGAGGTTAAATAAAGTCAAGCAGTTAGATTATTTGTCACCTCAGAATTGTGTTCAGGGTTTACTATTTGTACATAAGTTGTCTGACTGAAATAACTGAAATAAATAAATAATGTTTTAACCACAAAGGTCACCAGAAGAGGATAACACAGTTAAATCAAATCCTTATTATCTCAGAATTTTGAAACTATTTTACCCTTAGAGCTTTTTCTAGTTGTATTACTAAAGCTTTCAAAGTATTTCAGCAAACAAGTTAATTATCTTCCTGCCTTGTTCATTTTCACCCAGATCTTCTGGACCATTTTAAAACTCCTCTACCTCTGTTTCTTGCTGCTTTCCTCCACATGTCCATCTTTCAAAACACTGCTCTTCATTCACCTTGATCTCTCTGAAAAAACTCTTCTTTATTTCCAAATTATTTTTATTTATTTGCCCATTTCCTTTCCTTTCTCACTTCCCTCTTGTTAATATTTACATCCCCGTCTTCCTCTTCGCCCAGGCGGAGCCTCTCATCATCGACCTGCGTGACCTCTTCACGCTCATCTACGACATTAAACAGCGGGAGGAGATGGAGAAGAAAGCGCAGAAGGACAAACAGTGTGAGCAGGCGGTCTACCAGGTAGGACATGTTTTTTTTCTCAGTTTCATTTCCCATTCGGAGGCGAGATCACACATTACATCTCGGCCAGCAATTCATTCACACAACAGAAATCTTCCTCTGAAGTGCATCCCAGACTGTGTTTGTACTGTATGCACCATTGATTTCTATATTGAATATCTAAATATAATGGAAATGCAACAGGTTTGTTTTATTGGAGTCAGGTATGTGTGACAGGAAACGCATGTGTGTTGTTATGCTCGCTTGCAGGAAAGGACACATCAAATGTATTTTTTGTTACCCGTTCTTCCTCCATTTCCTTTCTAATGACTTTCTAAATTGGGCTGCACTGTCTCACTGTTTTAAAAAACCAAAACGTGTCATCTGCCTTGTGTCCCACCCCTGCACAGACCATCCTGGAGGACGAAGTGGACGACCCGGTTTACCAGGTAGGTCCGGTGGCACGCAGCGCAGCAACCAAACACTGCTGACCGTGATGCTTTCTAGCTGTTTTTTCACTCTTAAAGCTTTGCATTTCACAAGAAAACTCAATTTAAATATCTCCTCCAGTCACTGATCTGCTTGAATTAATGATTCATGATATTCCACCATTCCAGTAATACACTGAAGACCATCCTATGGACAGTTTTGTTCAACCATTCAACTCCCATTTGCCAGTGCAGTGTTGTAAAACCATATTTTTTTCAGTTGATCTGTGTCAATGTTCTTCCAAAGACATGCCCACCCCCCAACAGACTGGTTGTTACCCCCTCCCCTTCTTTATAGCCTTGTGCATTTATTTGCCTGACATGTTTTCTTTTTTTCTGTTTGCTCACACTGAATACAGACAACACTAACTCTTACTCTGAATGCTATGTTCAGTGGTACGTCCAGCCACCCCCCAGAAGTGTGTTTTGCATAAAGTCATTCCATGTGCAGCTTTGGATTATGTTGATGTTGGTTGACAAAACTCCACACTGTGGCCAGAATCTTAAAGGAGCACTTTGACATTTTGGGAAATTCACTTTATACTTTCTTGCCGCCGATACGGTTGGATACAATTCATTTTATTCACAAATACAAGTACAATCATAAGACATAATGGGGATATGTAAAATGGGACAAACCAAAACACTATTCTAAGCTTTTAGAAGAGGGTCCCATCAAACTAAAGAAAGAGTATTTACAGTGTATATAACCCATTTAGAATTGGAGAGACTTAATTTAATATACAGAAACATTACAAGCTAAAAACACCTAACATTGACCAAATACCCTCAAACTGTATCAGCAGTCAAAACATTAGATTTCAATCTTCAATTTTGACACATTTGGTTACCAACTGCTTCCTTAAGCTCTTTTTAAAGATCAATGGAGCCAGCAGCTAATTTGCCTAGTTTAGCATAAAGACTGAAAACAGGGGGAACTTTTAACCTGGTTTTGTCCAAAGGTAAAACCAAATGTGCTTAACTACACTAAAATCAAGCTACAGTGTTAACTTTAGCATTGATTTAGTTTTTTGTCATAAACTCTAGTCTCTTTTTTGTCATGTTTTTTTCATTTTGGTATCTCCCAAGCATTTTCAAGCTACAGCTGTTGCCATTTTTGTTGTGTACAGTTACCATGGTTACAGGGGTTTGTATTATCTTTCTCAAGGTTAGTGGTGAAGGACATGTTTGTGCAAACACAGTGTCCATGTTAACTCTGTTACAAGTAGGGTAGGTAATTCACTTCAGAAACACTTTTTGTTATATTCCATGGAATGCTCTTAACATCCCGATAGAAATGAATACATTAAATGCTTTGACAATAAATACATTAAAAAATGTAATCTGTGGAAGCCGTAATACTGTAAAAAGCACGACCAATCATTTTAGCCGGCCCGGCTAAAATAACTGGATGGCCTACCTGCCTGTCAGCCTTCCATCTCGTGCACAAACTTATCTCGTGCCCTCATTGGTCATGTGCGCGTTCGTGTGTGTTGGAGGAGGGGCTCTGTAAGGAAGTCTGAAGGAAGGGGCAGAGTTTTTTCGGCTGCGTACTTTCAAATTCCTACCCTACCTTTAAGTCATGTTGACAGAAAACAGACTCTCCTCAGTAAATCAATGTATCATTTACAAACACTGGCTGATTGAACAGGAGGCTCACCTAGCATTAGCATTCAAACTAGCATTAGTTCAGAAGCTAGATTCAACCACTTCATTTAAAGGGGACCTATCATGCAAAATGCACTTTTGTACGTCTTTTATACATGAATATGTGTCCCCGGTGTTCCAGGGAACTCACCAAGTGTCAGAAAACACAACCCTCTCTATTTTCCTCCATACCCAAATCTCTAAAAAAGGGGCTGCAACGGATCTGATAAAAACTGATCCAGATTTGAACACTGTCCTGACGTCAGGACAGTGGCGCTACGGCTATTGGGCCAACTCCACCAATCAGGAGGAGACAGCCACGGCCATTGCCGTTCGAAAGCGCTGGAGACGCTGTAGTACATATGCCAGGCCTGTAGATGGTGCTGTTCTCCCAGAATCAGCCCTTGCAAAAACAGAGCTAACATTTTTCAAATTGAGCGAAATGAGGCATGGCTAAAATGCATGATCTGTTTTGGTATATATATATAAGTATAAATATGCCTTATATAGGTATGGTCCTACACTATATTATTCAAATATAGCATGATAGGTCCACTTTAAGTGCTGTGGTTTTCTGCGTTTAGATCCAGCAGAGAAGCTCAACAGTTACGTAGCGTTGGGGTATTAATATAGCATCTTGAGGACATTTAAGAGAGTTGACATCCTTCCTAGAACCTTCTCATTCCTTCCAACATGAAATACACCCAACTTAAAGTAACGTAAACATGTAATTCTCCACACAATGTTACTCTCCTTTAAAAAAAAAAATCTGTGTGCTGCCTGCATGTTTTTGTAGTCCGGCTCAACTTTTTTGAGGCACTTCTTGTCTAATGTTCACTTAATTGTAGAATAATTTAGCCCGTAAATCTGTTTTTTCAAGACCTGAAAGCATCAAGGAACATTTTGACAGAGACATCATGTTCCTGGTTGAAAATACTTCTTGCTGAAGATGGCAGTGCAGCAGCTATAATTCTGCACAGGAGATTGGTTTGTAGCAGTGGAGGATACTATTGATAATCAGAAGCTAGGCTATGTGTGTGATTCTGCTTACGTAGCAGGTTGTTTAAAATGACTTCTGTTCATCAAACAATCATTAGCTCATTTGTCTGTCTTTCATGTTGTCCTTTAGTTTCTATTTGTTGACAAAAATGTACTTTTTCTTTTCAATAGTTAATCTTCATAGTGTTTTTTATTCACAATTAGACAGTGTCCTTTGTTTCCAGTCATAATGCTAAGCTAACAAAGCTAATCCATTGCTAGCTCCAGCTACACATTTATCGTACAGATATGAAAAAGGTATCCATCTTCTCGTCTTATCTTCGGCAAAAAAGTGAACAAACATATTTCCCAAAATGTCAAAAGAAAATGTTTTATTTGAGATCCATTGAGACTTTTTTATAAATACATATCTTAAGAGGAGACACTGACCAAAGTGAGACTTCACTCAAGTTGAATATTCTGACCTCTCAAAGAGGTGGAGCATCATATCATTGATGTTAAAAGGAGACCTCTAGCCTAAACCTCCACATTGCCTTGAACTACTGCCTGACCTATTATACTTGTGCTCTTTCCTCTTCCCACCTCAATCTTTTTTTATTTTTCTCCACTTCCCCCCCACCCCCATTCACCGCCTTTTTTTATTCGCTATTCCATTTCACTCCCTGCCCGACGCCATTCTTGCTCCCCTGTGCTTTCATTTATTCTCGTCATGTATCACTCCCTCGTTGTATCTCTCTGTTTTATATGCCAACCTCTCTCTCTGTCTTCCCATCTCATTGTTCTCTGCACCTCTACGCCTTGCCCACTACTTCTGTTCTATAGTACATAGTGTTTGAGGCTGGACACGAACCCCTCCGTGGCCACCAGTCAGAGGAGAGCGTTTATCAGGTACAAAGACAAGCATTGCCCCCCTTTTCTTCTCCCTTTTCATACCCTGTGATATAACATTATGGTAACAGTACTAACATGACTGTAAAGCACCTTTCCTAAAGAAGTTACAAAGTGCACGTTGTTTTTGGAGAAAAGGTTTTCTGAGGATTCAGTAGAAGGTCAAACTAGGGTTTCAGTTTTTAACATGGCTGAAGATAAAACACCATCTAAGACAGAAGCGAATACAGATAGGATCTATTAAAAGGGTTATATTCATGTTCAAGTTACAACTGGTAGCATTAAGGTTAAATCAACACTAACCATGGGAACAAATGCATTGCATTCCATGTGGCTTCTTCACAATAAAAGCCTCTGTTTCGCCAGTTAGTCACAGCAGAAGGATATTTGATTTGCATTAGCAGTAACTCAATACAGCTCTGAGCAATGTAATGAAAGGATACACTAAACAGTGAGGTTATCAACAAATAAAATGACATGCATGCATCGTCACTTTGCATAAGAAGGCAATTTGAATCCAGCATGGGATTGGCGGACTCCGCCCACTACCAATGAAAACTCCAACAAAGAAAATGTTAATACTTTGAAAGGCCATTTCCGAGAAAAATTATGGCTTTTGGTTTGATTTTAGGAAAATCTTTAGGATTATATATTTAGAGATAATAAAAATAAGCAGTTTACGTTAAAAGTACCAAAGAGAGTTAGGGCCAGTCTTCAGAATCGGCATAGGAAGATTTTTATATACATTTGAATCTCGAGAAATAAGTCAAACCAGATTATATGTGTTTATTCTCAAGATTTCAACACTTATTTCAACATTGAAACTATCCATTTTTGAAAACTAATTCTGACATTTTGATTCGAATCAAACTCATTTGTTTCCTTTAAGCCTGACCCTAACCCCTAGATTCCACCAGGTCCGTCTGCGCCGCGGTTTTGGTCCGGCCTCCTCCGGCGTCATACCCTACCAGGCGCGTTTCAGAAGCATTTCAGAAGCGGAGAGTCTTGCCTGCCGGCTCGCAGTTTTTGTTGATTTGGGCATATTTCCTGGACAGGCTACTTTGTACAGACAAAGTTAATAATAACTGTAATATTCCAGTTATAAACGACATGAATCAAAGATGTGTTGCTGTATTTTAGTGGTAAAAAAAATGCATTCATCATCATAATTATTCTATATATATAATTTACACAGTGCCTGTAAACCGGAGGAGAACGCTGGCATTTCTCCTCCTACTTGAAAGACTACGGAGGGATAGGGTCTGCAAAATTAGTTTGTGTGTGTGTATATATATATAGGTCTATATAGCTCTGAACGTTCCACTTCCTGCCTGCCCGACCTTACGTTACGGCTGCGCCGCGACAAAAATAGGATTCGATCCTAATTTTAGAAAAGCCCTGCGCCGAGCCGCTTCTGGGACGCTTCTGGGACGCGTCTGAGCCGTAATGCGCCGCGTGTGGTGGAATAGCACCCATTGACTAGAGTGGCCGCGCTCACCTTGAGCACCGCGGCGCAGCCGTAACGCGTCCGTAACGCGTCCGTAACGCGTCCGTAACGCGTCCGTAACGCGTCCGTAACGCGTCCGTAACGCGCCGCAGACGGACCCGGTGGAATTTAGGGGTAACACTCTTTGGAATAAAACATTTCTCACGTAGCGTCTAAAACATCTAAAGAAGAGTCAAGGTCAGTTGTTCAGTCTGGATAGTTCACCCAAAGCCTTTCATATCTCCAACACTTTGACCTTTTGGCTTTAGACCAAATGAAGGACTAGCTAGGACTCCAGAGACCTGTGGTATGGTTTAATCCTACCCTCCTCCCTCCCTGTCTCTCCCTTTCTCTCCCTCCTCCTCCGCCTCTTTTTGCCTCTCTGTATCTTGCGTTCCTCTGAAGATGAAAGATGCAGAGAAGGAGATTAATCACTTGCCATGCCATTTGATCTCAGAATGAAACAAGATCAATAGGCTTGAGGAAAACGTAAGGAAAAGTTGAGGGAGCGATGGGGAGACAGACAGCGGGGATAAGAGCAACAGATAGTCGGAATAAATGTGAGAGAAATATCCAAAGGAGGCCAGAGCCGAGGCGTTTTGATATTGTCAGATGAACCAGTTGAGACACACTGTTGCAGAATAACAATAGGCTTTGTTTTAACACTCCCAGAAACAGCTCGCACCATCTCCAGCAATGTTTGCAATCAATATTGATTTAAGTAGAATTGATTTAACGAAACAGCTGTAGAATTAGCATAATCCCATTGCTCTAAAAGATCAAACTAAATCATAGAAAAATGGACTAAATGGAAATGGATTCAGAATGCTATTTCTCCTTCAATAGACATGTCGACTTCTTGTTTTTTAATAAACTAGCCTGTTAAAAAAGAAAACGTAAAGAAAGGGTGTTGCTCTGTTTCTTACGGATGAATCGACCTCCAATCCAATGCAGGTCCCAAGCAGTCAGCAGAAGGACGGGATCTATGATGTCCCAAAGCGCCATTTCATGACTGTAGGTGTTTTTTTTGTTTTGTTTATTATTTGTTTCTTTACTCTTCTTCTTGCAAACCTCTCTTTAACATCCTCTTGAAGGAGGCGCCTCTAGCCCCTCTTGACGGTGCCAATCATTGGTAATGTCAAAAACACATTTTCCAAGCCTAGAATGACTCAGACTGTGGTGATGATGAAACTAATTTCCATTGGTCATGCCCAGCCTGTCTCAAGAGATAGGACGAATTGATTGGTCAGCCAAAGTCGGACATGTCGACAATTTCACAGGACGTTAAAGACGCCGGCTACGTATCCTAAATCCAATCCTGACTATGACGCATGTCCAACCAGATGGTGGAGACCAAATCAGTTTGTTATGAGGCCCACCGATCAGATAAATAAAGGGGGGGGCTGTTCCGTCCTTCCTCGGAGGATGAGGTGGAGAGGTTTGTAGTTTGGGTTGGTGTTGGTTTGAGCTGCATGCAGTACAATCTAACACTCATTAAAGCTGTACCTGAAAAACAATATACGGAAAACAGACCCTTTTTTCCCCCCTTTTCATCAAAATGAAAGTATATCTCATCTCATCCTGCTAGGTTTTATGAGTTCTTCACCACCACGCTATTACATCCCTCAAATCGCTTGTACAAACATTCATTCAGGCCTATTTCGCCCCAACGTTCACTGGGAGACAATTTCCCCACAACTTTTGAAAACAGCCCCAGCAAAGTGCTTCTGTGCTCTCCGCTGTTTGTACGCTCAACGCTCAGCATATCAAACAGATAAACTTCCCCGGCCCCCGCGCTATCTCACCCAAACAGCCCATGCCGGTATAAGTAGCAGCGCTTCCATATCTCTAAGTGTTACTGCTTGTCTGTTCATTCAGTTGGAGCTTTTTGAGAGCCTCCGCACACCCCTGATGTGTGTCGGTGCCTGCAGGGAGAGACATCTGTGTACACTGTTTACCTTTTCCCCAAATTCAGACTCATTCTGTGACCCTGAATGGTTCCAAAGTGCCGTGCAAACTGTGCAAACGCGCCATGTCCCGGCTTATTCAAGGAGGACATAAACACCCTGTTAGCAGCAACACTGATTGCTGCTAACCTCCCTTTTTTTCTTTCTTTGATTTAAATATATGTGTTTGTATCAGTTTCTTTGCAGCATGCAAGTCCTGTGTGTTTTTGTGCTTCTTTACGGTGATTCATTGTCTGCTTGTGCATGGCCCCAGAGACATTTCATGCAACTTAGCCATTCCATAGTCTATTCCATAACCGCGTCCCCCCTCTCCTTTTTAAGTAGTGCGAGTGGAGGACATGGGGGGACTAGAGCGTCTGCCCACAGGGTGAGGTGGCCTCATTGTCTCGGTCGGGTGGTTCCAGGAGCTTCTTCTTTTCATTTATGTGATGAAATAAACACACTCCTCTGTGTATCTATCTGCTCCCGGAGAAGAATCAGCATGATAAAGCAGCCCGGGCTCTCACGGGGGCCCCGCGTCTTGATTGGCAGACATAAGAATATCTAATCAGAGTCTGTTTTATGGGACTGAATAGCCTTTTACCCACTCAATTATAGCGAGCCATGAAAGATTCATTTTAGATCCATTTTCTGATAAGGGAACGAGGGGATAGTTGTTTCTTGCCATCCACAGCACAAACCGCCTTTGTGAATAGATTTCACTCCCCACTCCTACCCACCCATGCAACCGCCATACCCTATCTGGAGACAAATTCAAGGTTTCATGAGTGTGCAAATCTCATTGTCCGGATGTATCACTGGACTTTTTCTCTTTCTCTTTCTTTTGGCCCCTCTGTTCCACTCGCAGAACATCAACCACTTTGATCTTTTCGGCGACATGTCCACCCCTCCCTCGGTAAGTACTGACCCACGAAACCAAACCCCGGTTGTGTAATGGAAACATGTTTATGGAATTCATTTTATCTGTGACATTAGGTCATTTAATTAGGACTGCCGCAGAGATCTAAATCACCCGGCAGAAGTGAGGTACAGATGAATGTGCAGCCCAGTGACTTTTAGGTGACTTTGACAGAAGTGACATCTGTGTGTGTGTGTGTGTGTGTGTGTGTGTGTGTGTGTGTGTGTGTGTGTGTGTGTGTGTGTGTGTGTGTGTGTGTGTGTGTGTGTGTGTGTGTGTGTGTGTGTGTGTGTGTGTGTGTGTGTGTGTGTGCTTCGCCTCCCAGATGCCCCCATCACCTGCCAACACACTGGACCCGAGCCGGAGCAGCCGCCAGCAGCAGCAGCAACATGCTGCCGAGTTGTACGCCCCCTTCAGCCCCACCTCCATTCCATCAGGTAGCCCCCATCTCCTGAAACGTTGCATCTTTTATCACAAAGCGGAACATAGGAGAGAATAAAGTGCTGGTGGGGATGTGTTTCTTTGATGTGCAGTTGGAGAAAAACCATGCTAAGATTTACTGTAGAACAGAGATACAGTAAAGCAATGTCTCTTCAAGGACAAATACTGGTGGGTTGTGCATATTTTAGAAAATATATTGACATTGTGGCTTCCAAAGAACGTTCAAGAACATCCCAACATCCTTCAAGAACAGCAGCCTTCTTGAATGCAGCAAACATCATCATGTCACAATGTGTCTGTCTATGATAACACAGCTTATGAAGATGATTTTTGATGACAGACTAAGACATCTCAGATGTTTTTCTGGAAGCTTTTCAAGACAGCGTTTGCTTGCAAAAGCATTGCCATGCAACAATTGTTTATATTAACACAAATATATATTTTGATGACTGATCTCAAACTGCAAGATTCTGCAGGTTTGGTAGTCCTCCCAAAAATGTGGTCCCCAATAACAATATGTTATTTTCTGCCACTAGGGGTCTATCAATCAAAACAGACAGCAATGTTAAGTAGAATGGGATCATGGGAGGTATCAATGCAGACAGCTTCTCCCCGATAGGATTCCTTTATTTATGATCAATGTCTCTCCAATTTAGTTTGGCTGCTGCACATGTTCAACTTAGATCTAGACATCTGATGACTAACATTCTTTATGAGGTTAAAAACGATCAAGATCTAAAAAGGGTATCGAAGAGGTGGCTTGAAACTGGAAAAAAGTCAATTCATGACAGCTTCATGCAGACAACCACAAAGCAATGCATGCTCCAAGGGGATATCGCCATTACAGGCGACCAAATGAAATGAACAGATACAAATAACTCGTATATATAGGTCTGATCATTGTTAGACATAAAGTTATATATTATACCTTTAAATGTTCCCTTTTGCTTTTACATTTCAGCACTGAATATCTGTCGTTGTTTGTCAAATATCAAAAGACAACATGCTGTAATTTGGAAAATCGATGTATTGAATTTTGAATCACAGGATACTAAATGTGTTCTGCGCCCATTATAATAATCTCCTCCACTTCCTCTTCCTGCCTTAATATCCTTCAATCATTTTTCCTTCTCCCCCCTCCCCTCTCTCTCTGCTGCAGGCTATATGACCATGGGTCCGGTGCAGGCTGCGCAGTGGGCTCAGCAGCCGTACCCCGGCCAGGCCCAGACCCTGGCCTTCCCGGTGCAGGGGCCCCTCCAGGTGGCCCAGGTCCTCCCCGGGGGTCAGCCGCTCATCTGGAGCCAGGCCAACATTTTCCCGGCCACTCAGCAGCAGTGGGCGGCCATGGCGGCGTACATGCCGGCCCAGACTATGGGCGTGGGGGGGCACGCCATAACAGCTGCCATGCTCCAAGGCCTGGTGCCCATTACCACCATGTGCCCGCAAGCCTGCGACTTATCGGCCCCCTCCTCGGCCATCACCAGCCCCCAGCACACGGCCGACCCCTCCCTGCTCCACAGGCAGCTGAGCCTGGGCAGGGAGGGGCTCGGCGCGGAATCAGACGCAGGCGAGGGCCCCTCTACATCAGGAGTTGGACCTGGATTTGCGTCCGCATCGGTGAGCAGGTGTGGGACCCCGGGGCCCCTTGGCGTCCCGGACACGCTGCTCTGCAGTCAGCTGCTGCCGCCTTCAGCTGCCGCCACACAGGAGGAGGAGGGCAGCTGCAGTGACCTTGATCTCTCTCGGATGACCTTGAGCCCGGGTACATCCTCATCACCGTCTACTGAATCCCGTAAGTGCTCCTTATTATCTTAACAATCTATCATCTTTGTGCCATTATATGTAAACCTTGTTTTCATCGTAAGCTTTATCCAATGTTACGGACTGGACTATTTGAACAGCTATTAGATCTAGCCTTTGTTGCATTCATTGTTCCAAGAGGATGCATCATGCTTACTTTGATGACCCCTGACTTTTGAATTATATTTCTTGAAAAGGGTTGGATTATTATTTCCTTTCAAATTGAATACAGTGCACCAATGTAGAACAAGTACACTATTGTAAAGAAGCCCTGAGGAGCAAGTGAGAAAAAAACCTGGAGGTTGATTTGTAGTTTATTTGTGAAAAAGATGGGACAAAAGGTGGCAGGATTAAAGAGTTGTTAATAATAATAATCAATTTTATTTATAAGCGCACTTTTCTTTTCTTTTTTTCAAGTGCTTGTTGTCATCCATGTTTACCTAACAACACATAGAAACAAAGAAATAAATGGTTCAAGGCCAGAAGTAAGTAAAGAATAACAGAAAGTTAAGAAAAGAAATATTACAGGCCACAACAGAGTTACACAGTGTAATGTCAGCAGGGAGGGGATTACAAAGGAAGGAAAGAGACCTTTCAGCCTGCTGCCTGACTTTCATTTTGGGAACTGTTTTCTAAAGGGGGCCGGTTAACCTTTTTCAGGTTGATGTTTGTATTGTGTGTCTCTACTGTGACATGCTTTAATGTTCAGGAAGCTCTTTACTGTTCTCCTTCTACCTCTTTTCACCCTCTGTCTGACACCGTGATTGGTCCTGCCCCGTAGCCCATCGCAAAGGAGCGCTAGTCAATAGAAGCACGATTGTTACTTAGTGATGTCATTATGTTATGGAAGTTAACAAAGGAGTCCAATGAAGGCATTTCAGGCAGAGTGTGTGTGAGAGAAACTCCCTCTGGAGGGAACTTTGGGATTTCAGCCTTTGCAGACCATTAACATGCACATAAACCTATACAACACACTAAGCATAATGGGTCATCTTTAGACAGGAGAAAAGGGGTGGAAAGAAAGGGCGTGCACATTCATAAAGTTGTTTTTTATTTGATAGTGTGACGTCAGGTACAAAATAAACTAAAGTGGAGCGGATGACATGCGTTAAAGGTCATGATGTGGATTTGAATCGACTGCTTCTCTGTTTGTGGTTCATGCTAATGTTCAGATTAGCCTTAACCAGCACACTATGGAAACTGTTAAAAAACTAAGTTGAAATATCTTCTTACTGTATTTACTGAACATTTCTCCCTTCCTCTCCTTCAGCGTCCACCCCGGCCCCTCACCAGAGCTTGTCCTCAGATTGCCCCGCCTCCCAGGCCAGTGACCCCCCCACAGATCACTCCCCTGTAGACACAGAGGGCGCCTGCAGCAACGCCAAGGAGGAACAATCGGTAAGCCCCGCCCCCTTGTCAATAACACATGGATTTGAAACAACAAGTGACCACTAATCTATTATCGTCATATGGATGATCTGTTCTCGAGTACATCTCACACAGCACACGATTCATATGGCAAAATGGGATTGATTTTACAGAAAAATGTCAAGTCAATTAAACATAAAAGGTCAAAAATGATTTAAGTGTCTTGATAAGATCGTGTATAATAAGGTGAAATCTCGGTTCGAGGTAATTACAGTCATTATCTAAATGTTTGGCTGATTTTGATGGGAGAAGTAGGAGGAAAAGGTGAACAACTTGTCACCTGCAAAATATAAACGTTGACATCCCTCTTCCGCTCTCAGGGCTCTGATGCTGCAAGGTCGAGCTCTCCGGAGCCCAGCGGAGCTCCTGACGCTCCGCAGGATCAGACCTGTCCACAGGAAGACAGCTAGAGAACAACAGACACCCAGTGGGTATTTCATGGCCCCCTCCTCTCATTTTTGTACCCTTCAGTATCAACTACCTTCACATGGTAGTCATGTCATTTTCCTGTGTTCATCCCCCCTGTTCTTTTGTCCAACAACTTCCTCCCTCTCATGTTTTCATAACATTAACTTAAGTAAAGTAAAGGCTTTATTCATATACACATTAGCAACATCTTAGTTGTTGGCAATACAAATAATAATAGTTGAAAAAGCTCTTTATTTTTCTCATACTGCTGTCTGTGCTGCAGCACCTCTTTTCACCCTCTGTCTGAAACCAGAGCCTAGTCTGCTCTGATTGGTATGCTTGCCGACTCTGTTTTAATTGGTCAACCGCTTAGAGATGTCCTCCCCTTAGCTAGCAGGTTCATTTCCAAGCGTGGTCAATTAAGTTCTAGCTTAAGGTAGCATGTAGCTAACTTAGCGTCATTATTTGTATGATATCCATTATTTTTTAACTGTTTTGTGAATTAACGTTAGCATATTTCATGTCTGTAAGCCACCAGTTGCTCATCTTCTCATTGAGGAAGATAACGATGTTGGAGCGCTAGCCAATAGAAGCGCGAGTATTACATATTGATGTCATTATGTTATGGAAGTATACAAAGGAGTCTAATGGAGGCGTTTCAGGCAGGGGGGAGGAGAGTGGTGGGAGAGAAACTCCCTCCACACAGGGAGCACAGGGATTTTAGCCTTTGCAGACCGTTTACATGCACACAAAAATAACACACTACAGGAAAGGGAAAAACGCCAAAAAGCATAATAGGGCCTCTTTAAGATATTAAACAAATAAGTCATTAAAATGTGCATTAAAATGCAATAATGGTGCAAGTAATATGCAGGAACAAGCAAACTATATACATGTTACAGTAGGTCAAATGAGATAAAGCAATATTAAATAATGTACATTGGATATGTCCGGTCTAAAGTAATAAAATATAAATAAATGTTTAGATTATAAACAGATGTATGTGTTATATACATAAGTAAAGAACCTGCTTTCTTTTAGCTGATTTAGCATAATTGTTTTCCCAGGTTGCCTTTCCACGATAACACAGCTTATGCAACTCAAGAGAGTCACTGCTTGCAAATAAGTAACATGCGATTTTATGTATTTCTATTACATTATTTTGATTACTGATGTCAAACTGCAGTCTTCTGACTATATGTTCAATCCAGGCCACCAAATGAAATGCCTGTTACCTTGATGAAAATGACTGATCTTCAGCTTTAGAAAATAGTTGGAGACATTGACCCTGGTTTCTTTATTAGCTTCATATTAACATTCATCTCCTTTATTCCCTTCCCATGTGTGCTTTGCAGCCCATTATAAAAGAGCCTTGGTTCAATGTTTCTGTCATCGTGTTTCTCTGCATCGCCCAAACTAAAGATAAGGAAGGCACAACGTTGCCCCCCTGTGGTTAGATCTGTAACCGAATGAATGCAGATTCCTGATTTAGTCAATCCGTTTGTTCTTTCAGGGAATGGAAGCTCTGAAGGCCAAGACAGAAGAAGCTCACAAGAAAAGAGAAGAAGAGAGAGTGACTGTGAGATCTCTTACACTGTTTTTTCAACCTTTTAAAGGATATTTTTGGCAGTTCTGTAACAAGCTGGCTTTCCTAGGATCTGCTTTTCCTCCAGAGGCCACACACTGTACTGTACTGTACTGAACTGAACTGAACTCCTCAGCATGACAACCAGACTTTGGCTTTATCGTCCAATCAAATTACATTTCAACCAGGAAGTGACCTTTAATCTTTGATAAACACACAGCGGGAGGCGACTTCCTGTCACGGATTAATGAGTTTACACCTGCGAGGAAGCGTTAAACAGCCATGGTGACACTGATGATGCAAATATTTTTTCACGAGGAGCAGCGTCCTACTGTATGCGGTTGACCTTGGGTTTTGTCAACCGCCACCAGCAAAGACTGTAACACAGCAGATGGATTTTGCCAAATGTTCTCATAGTGTTGCTCCACCGATTCGTCCATTTGCATGAACAGACTCGATGTGGATTCAGCTGTGAGCAAAACTGTTCTCTGCGGCTTCCCTCCAGACCCGAAACATATAAAAAAAATATTCTTTTTCTTATTTTATAAGCTGTGAATTCTTAGCTGGTGTCGTTAGAGGCATCGGAATGACTACGAGGCATTGACGTGGAAATCAAAATTTGCCAAACTATCTATTTTGTAAATAAGAATCCCCCCCCCTCCCTTATACCTGAGCCTCTGTGCCATAACATAGCCTCTCTGATGCCAACTACCTGTGTTTCTCTCAAGCAATGCCCTACCAGCACATCCATTTTTTGACGTCTGGATGTTTGTTTCGCTTTTGCAGCCATTCATTTCTGAAAAATGTCTTTGTTTCTGTTGGGTCGGTGAGATATGAACTGTGAATTTGTGTTACATGGTCATTTGAAATAAAGCCTGCTGTACCTGTCTCGCTCTGTTTGAGCCCGAAAGAACGATAAAGATGGCATCAAGATATCCTGCTACTCTTCAAAGGTTACAGGTTTTTTTTTTTTAAGTAAATAGAAAGCAGATTTTCCTGCATCTTTTTCTTTTTTTTTTAATATTCTACATTTCCAGCTGAGGTCGCATTGTTTACAATTTGCCATTTTGAATCATATCTCTGTTTGGTTTCTTGGATTAATAAGCAGATTAAGAGACAGTAGAGTGCATTTCTATGCCTTATCAGGTTTATTTTTGTTGTCCAGTCACTGTTCTTCTTGTATACAGTAAACAGGTCATTGTTGTAACAAAGCACTTATCGTAGGTCTGCTCCACCCAATCCAAACGGTCAAAAAGAAGGGTTATATAATACGAACAATAGAGATATCACTATTAACTGCTAGACATACAATAACAAACAATTACTGTACCCCTTGCTCGTGTAAGAAAAATGAGAAATAGTCCAAAATATTTTGTAAATTTTATTTATGGAATTAAGAATTGTCTTCATGAAGAGAAAAAAAGGACTTTTGTACGTCTATGACTTCCCCTTACACTGTACCCATGCCACTGTTCAGTCACAAATAAAATATCATGTGATTCCCACCATGCTCCATTTTCTTATATTTGTTCAACCTGATGCTGTTCTTTTTATAAAAAATGATCTCTAAAGAGAACAAAAGCAGCCAACAGAGGCTGCTCTGCTCACACAAATACTGCAGTGATCTTTAACCATACTCATGTGACTGCTTATGTGATATAATAGTATAATCACTTGTTCTTTTTTTGTGCTGATCGTACTACTTAATCACATAAGCGGCCATCAAAATCATACTTAAGTAAAAGCACAGACATTTTCAAAGCAAAGTGCATTTCAAGAACCAAAGTATAAGTTTTAATGCAGAGAAATGGCCACAATTTTTATGTGAATGCTCAATTTATACCAGGCATTTAATTATAGCTGATCAAAGTGGATCTAAACAGCCTTTTATGCAGGTAGGAAGTGTTCTCATGCCTTCCACACAATCAATCTGAAGGGTCATTAAATTATTAATGGATAATGAAAATAAAAAAAAGGTTCTGCTGCACATATTTGTAGAGGTTTGCTTTTGTTGCGAAATATTGGGACATTTGACCTTTAAATGAAACCATCTGGGACTTTTATAACAGAAATCACTTTTTATGGACTTCTAATAACTCATACACATCTGCTTTTTGTCAAGGGATACATGCCAAATGGTTGGAAAGCACTTTATTTTACAAGAATATCAAATGTTATTTTGTGAGTAACTCCAGCTGTCAGATAAAGGCAATTATATAATTAAAATAATTGTACTTTTGTTACCACTGCTGCTGTCATAACAAACATGGATCTACAAATTAAATTGCTGTTCTGTTGCTTTGCTTCTCCAAGAGTAAACTATAGTTGTGGCAATAGATTGTGTAATTCTGTAATATCCAAAGTCAATGAAAGTGTGGAGGATACGTCCCCTCCTGACCCAGAAAGTGACGCAACTTCTGGCCCAGGCTCTCGTCATCTCACGCCTAGACTACTGCAACTCCCTCCTGGCTGGTCTACCTGCATGTGCCATCCGACCTCTGCAGCTCATCCAGAATGCAGCGGCTCGTCTGGTCTTCAACCTTCCTAAATGTTCCCACACCACGCCGCTCCTCCGCTCCCTTCACTGGCTTCCAGTAACTGCTAGAATCCACTTCAAGACACTGGTACTTACGTACCATGCTGTGAATGGATCTGGCCCTTCCTACATCCAGGACATGGTTAAACCATACACCCCAGCAGGTGCACTACGCTCGGCGTCAGCCAAACGGCTCGCTGCACCAGCACTGCGAGGGGGACCCAAGTTCCCATCAGCAAAAACACGTCGGTTTGCTATCCTGGCTCCAAAATGGTGGAATGAGCTCCCCATTGACATCAGGACAGCAGAAAGCTTACACATCTTCCGGCGCAGTCTAAAAACTCATCTCTTTCGACTCCACTTCGAGCAATACAATTACTAACAAAGCACTTGTATACTAAAAAAGGACTGGCTTATCTAAAGCTAGTTGAGTAGCACTTGAAAAATGTTGGCTCTATGAAACCTGATGTACTTATATGATTCTGTTTTCTTCAAGTTTGTATCTTCTTGGTCGAATGCACTTATTGTAAGTCGCTTTGGATAAAAGCGTCAGTTAAATGCAATGTAATGTAATGTGTGGAAAGTTTAAAGGTCAGAAGTACACAAACATTACTGAAATGTTTTAGAACAGGAATTGTCTCTATTACAAAGCCTTCATCTTCCACCAATGTCATCTATCAATACACTAAAGTAAGTTGTTTTATTAATCACATTCCCTCAGATTATACATAGCAAAGTGAATTAAGATGATTAACAAGATGCCCAGACTTCCTGGATTGCCTATTAAACTTGCCTGGCCTGCTTCATCTAAGTCCTGATGTCTGTGTGATACCTGTGTTAAACTCACACTGACACAAGACACAAGTCCTATATCCCTTTGTATTCTGAGGCCTGCAGGATTGTGTATTCAGCTCCAGCTCTGAGTTCATGTATCGATCAGTGTGTGTTTACATAGAGAGCTGAGCAGCGGTGTGTCCTCGTCCACAGTCAGTCACAAGTCAACACACAGCCATGCTTCCTGTGGGGATACGGATGAGTGCACTCACTTCGCAGTGCTGTCTAATCTACGCTACTTTGGGATTGGTGCTGTCAAGGTATGAGTTGTATTGCTCTGTTTAGTCATTAATTGCCTGAATATATTTATATGTTTTGGTCAAGTTTAATATCCATCAAGGGTAACTAATGTAACAGCCTTGATGTCATAGAATACTAAATGTTTCTATTGTGGGATTAAAACTAATTGATTTTATTTTGAATTCTGTATTATCTTAGAAGAGATGGCTTTAGAACATTTAAAAATACATCCAATTAAGCTTTCCGTATATGCGCTAATGCTAGGAATTTGAGTAGCTAGTAGTTTCAAAAGCTAGGAGTTTGAGTAGCTTGTGGTTTCTTTTATATTTTTTCACAGAATTGTATTCTGCATTATTCTCAAAGTACAAAACAAAAATCTAAAATTGAATGTCTTTATGCCGGGCTCTTATGAGCTTCCGTAAAATTAAAGGGGACCTATCATGCAAAATGCACTTTTGTACGTCTTTTATACATGAATATGTGTCCCCGGTGTTCCAGGGAATTCACCAAGTGTCAGAAAACACAACCCTCTCTATTTTCCTCCATACCCAAATCTCTAAAAAAAAGGGGCTGCAACGGATCTGATAAAAACTGATCCAGATTTGAACACTGTCCTGACGTCAGGACAGTCGCGCTACGGCTGTTGGGCCAACTCCACCAATCAGGACAGCCACGGCCATTGCCGTTCGAAAGCGCTGGAGACGCTGTAGTACATATGCCAGGCCAGTAGATGGTGCTGTTCTCACAGAATCTGCCCTTGCAAAAACAGAGCTAAAAAAATGTCAAATTGAGCAAAATGAGGCATGGCTAAAATGCATGATCTGTTTGGTATTTTGAAAAAATAAAAGTATAAATATGCCTTATATAGGTATGGTCCTACACTATATTATTCAAATATAGCATGATAGGTCCACTTTAAATGTATTTTCTCTGATTTTGATCTATTTGTAATGTAAATATTTACAACCTTATTCTACAGAAATGTAGTTAGAAAAAATTGAAACACATTTGCTTCCAAATTGATAAACATGTCTGTATAATAAATGTCCATTTGTTTTAACTTGATTTTCTACCAGCAATGCAGAGCCCAGTGTTCGTGAAGCTCGGTCAGCGGGCGATCAGCTGGTAGTTCAGCCGGTGGACTGTGTTCTGTCAGAGTGGAGCTCGTGGTCACGCTGCGACACCTGTCAGAAGAAAAGAGTAAGTCTGATGACAGCAGACAGGTGACAGTGCAATACATGACATGTGTTGGTTGACCCATTAGGACACCACCATGTTTACCTGATAATCTGTCATCAACATAGAATGAGATCACCTGTAGCTGATATTTTCTGCTAATGTTGATCACGTTTATATTCATCCACTTAGGGTTCTGCCTGAAACCATCACTGTGCATTGTTTAGTTTTTTTAGGCAGTGTATACCATCATGTGATATCAGAATTTACCATTGAACGCGTGTGAATGAGTTATTATCTTATTTTAGCACCTTCTTATAAGATATATATGCTATATTTAAAGGTAGGGTAGGTAAGTTTGAGAAATTGGCTCGAGATACACTTTTTGTTATATTCCATGGAATGCTCTTAACATCCCGATAGCAATGAATATCTTAAGTGCTTTGACAAAAAATCCATAAAAAAATGTCATCTGTGGAAGCCGTAATACTGTAAAAAGTACGACCAATCATTTTAGCCGGCCCGGCTAAAATAACTGGATGGCCTACCTGCCTGTCAGCCTTCCATCTGTGCACAAACTTATCTCGTGCCCTCATTGGTCATGTGCGCGTTTGTGCGTGCTGGAGGAGGGGCTCTAAGGAAGTGGCAGATTTTCTCCGGTTGTGTATTTTCAAATTCTAGCGATCTCGAGCCGGTTTCTCAAACTTACCTACCCTACCTTGAAAGGGATTTAGTTTAAGGAAACTTGTTATTCCTAAGAGTTATTAGAAAACTATCATTCTGGTATGACAGAAGCAAGGCTACATGTGGCGGCTCAATCCCCAGTTGCGTTTGAGTCGCCGAGAGGCTAAACTTGGCTATAAACTGTGACGCGTTTTCGAAGATAAAGTCCATAGTGAAGCAAGATAGTTTTTGGGATATTTAATAAACAAAATCATAACATGGACAAAACGGTCAACAGAAAAAATGACAGCACAAGCTCACCCTCTGTCATCCGCACTCGACATGAAACAGGTGACTTAAATACACAAACCACACCCATGTGACAATTACCGGAAGTGCTCAACAAACAAATAAAAGTGATGTAAACAAATAATACAAATAATGAACTTGGGCTAAGTAGCATTATGGCACCTACAATACCGGCCCCTAATTATCATTTCACAAAATTATAATTACACTATAATAAATGACAATACACACAATATACGTCCAGATCTCTTTCTTGAATTCTTTTTGTTCAGAGTTCATAAATTGCAGTCTTTTTGGAAAAGTGATCTTTACTCACTAATCAGTATCAGTAAAAATGCTTGGTGTGGTTTGTGTGTGTGCAGGGGGCAGGAGACAAAAAATAAAAAAAGACAAAAAATAGTCCGTTTAGACTTGGAAAAAGTCCTCTGCCTCCTGAAGAAGGCTAACTTCGTTAATTGGTCTGCTCAAGAAACCATTCTTGGTCTTGATCCGAAGCATACGTACGAGTCTCTTTTCTTCTTGTTTGCCACCATGTTCTCCATCCGAGGGATCTCAATCCTCTTTTCCTCTGTGGCTTTTTAGACTCTTTAATCGTTGGCTTCTATATATTGACACTATTTCCATATTCGCACAAACATTTCATTAAGCTGGAAAAAAGGAGGAGTTTCAAACGTCTCTCAAATTTGACTTGTTCCAAACTAAGATGGCAGCCGGAAGTGTAAACTTGTCTTATTCTTCTTCCTCGTTGGTTTCGCTTGCAATTTAATATCTTGTAGTTCCTCTTTGATAACATGTTTTTCTGCTTCCATTCCTGGTGCTTTTTGATTGTTCATCTGGATTTCAAGAGCCTTATACGCTTCTTCTTGTGAAAGTTCATATTTCAGGTTTGACATTTGGCTCATTAATCCGTGTACCTTCAGCTGTTGACTGGCAATTTGTTTTTCAAGCTGCCCTCTCTCTTTAGCTTCCCTCTTCCTTCTCTTCTTATGTTCCTTCATCAATTTAGCTTCCTTCCTCACCTCATTCTTTTGTTCCTCCTCTATTTCTCCACCTTTCTCTTGCTCAGGCTCACGGTCTTCACTGTCAATGGGAGCACGGATAATTCTCTTGCTCTTCTGGGCCCCTTTCTCTTTCCTATCACCCTTCTTTTCTGCCTTTTCAGTGTCCATCTCCTCTCCGCTGAAAGCAGATAAGACCAGCGCTTCGGCCATGTTTACACTTAATGAAGTTTTGTCCCGAGTATTATCAGGACATCCTCCTAATGGTCCACTAACTGTCCATCCGAGCATGGTTTTTACGGCATAAGGTCCATCCCCCACACTCCTGATTACATCAATTGGTTCAAGGGCTTTTGGAACATCTGAACCAATCAGCAACTCAATTTCAGCGTCAAGTTCAGGTAGACAAACATCCCTCAAATGCAACCATTGATTGATGTCGGTTTGACGTGGAATTTTCCTTTGTGCACGGGCATAGTCTTCTGAGTGTATATGCCGGGGAGATCACAAAAGTTGCTGTTATGCAGTCCAGCAACCTCTAGGCCTGACACAATGCTGGTTTCAACGACCTTCCTTTGACCCATAGTTCTCAGCAGAATGTTTGACCTTCTTCCTTGGAGGTTAAGTTTGTTCATAAGGCCTAATGTGCAAAACGAAGCAGTGCTGCCTGGGTCAAGAAATGCATAGGTATGCACTGTTGTGTTCCCCTTTTGGGCTTTAACTTGGACTGGTACTATGGAAAGTTTGCAACCATCTTCACCGGCCCCAGTAAGGCCACCTGTCTGAATTGAGGCTTCAGCAGTGTTTGCCGATGCTTCTTCCATTTCCTCCTGCTCGTTTTCCATTTCCTTCCTTTGTTGGTAGATGTGCAACATTCTGGGATGATTTAGATTGCATATGTTGCACCTCATTCGTTTCCTGCAGTCTCTACTTATGTGGCAGCCAAAACAAAGACCATTTTCTCTAAGAATTGTGATTTTTTCATGATGTGTCCTCCTTCCTAACTGTGGACACATCTCCAGAGCATGTTCACATCTACAATACAAACAGTTTTCTACAGTGCTTCTGTCATATTTATTTTCTGTAACCTTCACGTTGGTTGCAAAGATGCTTCCACTTGGATGAGGCTGTGGCCTTCTCATGTCTTTGCTTACGGGAGGGGGGTCTTTAATGTCCCCAAATATGGGATCTGTAGCAATTTTTACTTGCCTTTCAAGGAATTCCACAATATCCTTGAAGGCAGCTCTTTGGTGGTGTTTTTCCTGGATGTCACATGCTACAGTTCTCCATAAATCCCTCAGCCTATATGGAAGTTTCTTTAAAATGGCTAGCATGTTTGCTGGAATGTTGAGCTCAAACATGTAGTTGACATCTTCCATCGCATTGCAACATCCTCTAAGGTAGACCGTGTATGCCTGTAGAGCCCTTGTGTCCTCAGCCCTTATTAATGACCATGAAAGAGCTCTTTCCATGTATGCTGTAGCAATTTTATGTTCATTGCCAAAGTTCTGTTGTAGTAACCATTTGGCCTTACTGAATCCACTGTCTGAGGCCATATGTTGGCAACTCCGTACAAGGTCTCTGGGCAGTCCTGTTGTATATTGCTCCAGGTAGTAGAGGCAGTCTCTGGGGTTATTGTTTTTGCTTTCAATATTGAATTCGAAAGATCTCACAAATGTTTGGTACTGAAGTGGGTCACCATTAAACACTGGAATGTCTTTCTTGGGCATGGATGATAGACACTGTTGCTGGATTAATAAAGCGGTTATTTCATTTTGTTTTTCCATGACTGAAAATATATTGCACTTGTCACTGTTGCTTGTGGCAGTTACTGGATCTGGAGATGTTACATGTAGATTTTCATCTAGATTCCTGATGCCTGCATTGGGTGTTAGGGGAGCTGTATCAATGTTAGTGACAGCTCTGTCTGTGGTGGTTATGATTGGTTGTTTTAATGGTACAAACTGTATTTCCCTTTGTCCCGTTTCAAAATATGACTGCATGCCATTGGATGATATAGAACAGGGGTCTCCAACCTTTCTTCATCTGAGAGCTACTTTGAAAAAATGAAAGTGGCCAAGAGCTACTTGCATCACATCGCTTACATTTAGGCCCCGCTCACACGGGACCGTTTGCGTTTATGCACAGTATGCGTATTCAAAAAAGTCTTCCGTTCACATGCATTTGCTTCATTTAACGTGTCTGTTCAAACGAGACCGCTGGAAACGCTGTAGTACATATGCCGGGACTGTAAGTGGCGCTGTAACTTCCGCCACAAAATACACCAAAAGCAGTGAAGAAGACTCCGCAGCAGCCCCGCAGCAATGTTGCCATGGCTACCCTTCTGTTTACGCCCCGCCGTGGATTTAGCAACATGTAGTTCATGTAATTCTCCATGTCCACTTGTTGCTGATGGTTGTGGTAGAGGAGCTGTATATTTTTGCACTAATATCTGTAGCATGGTCAGTAGCAGTAGCACTAGCAGTAGCTACTGACAGGAGGAGGAGCATGTCTCCGTGGAGAGGACTCGCTCAGAGAGATATTCTCTACAAACACCGGGTGAGATCCTCCTTTGTCAATATAATGGATCAATGCATGAAATCTGACTCTGTTTATTTTTGTTTAAGGAGTATATTGGGCGTTAACAATTCTGGTTTGCCTTTTATAATATTATTTCATTCAAGAACCCCTTGTGCGTTTAATTAACACAGCCATGCTACAGCAGTGAGCAGGAGAGGTGGGGAAAGGTGGGGCTATCGTTATTTTTTCAGGAAATATTCGTATAGAGCTGATTACACGGACTCGGTTGACCCCCCAGAGCGTTTTGTTTGCAAATCTATCCACCTTGGGACCCGTTATCGTTTGTGGGGTCAGTTTCTATCGGCCTCGTGTAAATAATAGGGCTATACGCACGCGAAACTATGCAGATACAAGCAGTTTTCTCCTCGTGTAAACGGCGCCTTATTCACATAGCCCTCATCAGTTGAATTAAGCTACTTTTGTACACATGTGAAATTGCAATACCTAAAGCTTATAAAAAATCTTAACTTCACA